CAACAAGGATATTTATTGGCTCAATTAATATATTGGTTGGCTCAGGGATCGTGGTTGGCAGAACAACGATTTTGGTTGGCTCAACAAGGATAGGTTGGCTCATCAGGGATATTGGTTGGCCCCAAAAGGTTATTTGTTGGCTCAAAATGGTTATTGGTTGGCTCACCAAGGATATTCAATTGCTCAACTAAAAATTGGCTGGCTCAAGGATCGTGGTTGGCTGAACAATGATTTTGTTTGGCTTAACGAGGATATTGATTGACTAAACAACGATTTTGGTTGGCTCAACTAGGATTTTGGTTGGCTCAACAAAAATTTTGGTTGGCTCAACAAGGATTATGGTTGGCTCAACAAGGATCATGATTGACTTAACAAGAATCCTGGTTGGAAAGAAGACTCCCATTTCCTGCAATTTAACATGCACTGCATTCACGAGACTAATCACCATACATCAAAGCTCTCTAATAAATGTACCTTTTAGATTAGTGTGAGTGGAAATGCCTTTAAGAAACATTGTTTGTTTTTAAATCGTAACTCTAAAGACAAATAGATGTTCCATGAAATGTAGACACCAAAACCGAACTAAATAGAACAGTAGAAAAATTATCGTACATTTACTACTTATTGACATTCTGGACGTTATAAATGTTAACTCAAATTGTTCAATATTTCTTGAGCCAGTATAAGCCTACCGAATATTTCCATCCATGACAGACACACATTCTCATCCTCACAAAATACAGACCGAGAGACACAGAGCACACAGTCTGACAGACACAGGCACACAGACCGACAGACACACAGAACATTCCCGTCCTACCACTCGGCGAAACGAGGCAAGTGAGGGAATCGGGCAAGGTTGCTCGACAAGTTATCATCGGCTGCGCTGCGCATAAGGCGGTTTCCGAGATGGACTTGTGACTACCGCGCTCTCGACCAAGCGAGCGAGCGCAACACTTGTGAAGGACTTGTTCCGGCGAAACTCGCCAACTCTACGTACGCGACATGGGGGAGACTTGAATTTTCATGACGCGAGCTGCAATTACTGGTAACATTGGGGAAAGTTTTATCTCGTAAACTAAAAGTAAATTATAATTTTGAATTTCTTGGTTCTTTTTATGCATGTAGCCGCAGTTATCTACAATGTAATTTTTGTTTTTATTATTATTATTATTATTATTATTATTATTATTATTATTATTTCAGTTTCACATTTATTCAAAAGCACCGAAATCAAGGTGTGACTGAGATCGGAGTCGCTAGGACAGACATGCAATACTTTCACAATATCTGTTGTACAGCCTAACAGGCAGATAAAAAGAGATAACACAAAGCTTTTGTGATTGACCAAGAACCGAAAGAAATCTTGGCGAAACTAACACAATTATGCAATGTGAGCTTGAAAATAAAACAGTGAACAACAGATTTGCAACGAACTATAATTATTCCATTTCCAAAGAAAGGAGACAGCCGAAATTGTGCAAATAACAACACAATTGCATGAATACCGTGCGATTTAGTCAATCGGCAAAAGTCATCCCTCGGAAAAAGAAAAAAATGATTTTAAAAATGTTGTTACTGTATGCATATACTTTAAGATTTTCAAAAACAATTCACATTGAAAGAAACCTCATTTTCTATCTACTCTGGAATGTTGTGTAGATTGCATTTGTCGCGTAAGCGTTAGACGTAAAAAGCAAATCTAAAGATCATACTCACAGAAAAAAATTTTCTTCGTTTTTAAACTATTTGATGTTTCTCATAATATTTATATCATTGTTGTCCGAAATGTCACGAAAAAGGTCCGTCTAACTGGTTTTGCATGACTGCAATTTCTACAGATAACTTTTCTAGAAAATCCACTTTTATAAAACAAAAAAATGGGGGAAACCACGCTCCAAATGAAGCAAACATCTAGAGAGTTATCCAATTGCATCATTACCCTTATTCATTTACGTAGTCTTATGAAATGACTCACCAGAAGATTTATTTATTTCCTTCAAAATTATACAAATATAACAAATTTATTTTTATATCAAATTAACTTACAAGTAAGCTGGGGGATAAGTTCATTGATTCAATTATCTTATTTCGTGCTTGTTGCGGCGTGGGAGTCAGGATAACAGCTTCTCCAGACCGCTATTTTACCACTTTTTAAAATTTGAAGTCGTAGGCTTCCTCGGCCAGAGTCAGTTGAAAATATCTGTGGCTGCTCCAGCGTGATGCCGCGTCGAAGATTTGTGCCGACGTTTCAACCATCTGGTGGGTGACGCGAACGGCGCAGAAGGGGAAGAGGGTGGGGGGCGAGTGTTTTCGTAAATTTCACTTTTACAACGCTCTTTACTCGTCCGATTTGCTATTGTCAGGCGTTTGGATTCAGGGAAGCTCATGTCGCCATTGCGCTATAAGCGCCACATTTTTAAATTTGTGTCTCGGAAGTTCGATAACTAATTTCAAATTCCCGTTTTTTCTGATATTTTGGGAAAAGATCATCGTAGCGTAATTCTATTTTAAAAAGACGTCAAATGCTGTTTTACAAAAATCGAAAATCGGACCGTTGCGTTCAGACGGTTATCAGTAAATTCCCCTATGATAGTGCTGCGATCTATTGAATTTTCCTACAAGTATTTTTCGGTGCATTTATCCTTAAGGGCGATAATATGAATGAAAAGCCTATCGATTGTCATACGATTTAGTTATATTCTGAATTTTGTGCCACCATAGAGGAAAAATAAGTGTTATGAGAAAATCTTCTATCTAGATTTCCATGACGTCCTGCGATTTTTTAATGCTAAGAACGTTCAAAATTATGCTAGCATTTATCTCGTTACCCACACGTGCGTGTTCAATCTTCAAGAATTACTTCCTTGTTCTTTCCATTTTTAACCAAAATAAGTCTGTGTTCTGTTTTTTAAGAAGATTAATATCCATTTGCATCTTGTAATAATTCAACTACCAACCTCTCCAAATGCATTTCTTAATGTCTACAAATATCTGGAATTCGTTTTGCACTTCGATTTCCTGGCATTTAAAAATTTAAGCTCATTATTTAGGTTACCTTGTATAAAACATTTCTAATTCCCTTTAAAAAAATAGAATATCATGTTGTAGCTGACTATGCACATGGAAAGCTACTCCTTTTAATGACATGAAACCGAGAAAAAAGAAGGAAAGAGACAAAAAATGTTCAAATAAACAGAAATGGTACAGAATATAATCTCAACAGAAATTGTCCCAGTATTGTCATTGAGTTGGCCTTTTCTGTAAGAACTACATTTAATACTTTTAGTATTTTTTCAATTCCAGACGTCAGTCTCTTGAACTTCACACTGAGCTGCGTGTGACCTCCGCTGTTCTCGCGTGCGCCAGCGGCCGTGACCTTCGACCGACACGACGTGTTAAGCCCCTGCGTCGCCCACGCCCCGCCCC